CACCAGCACGAGTAACAACAAATATACGTACAGCTACACCACATCATGTTTATCATTCATCTTCAAGTATTCAAAATCAATATAGAATTAGTACAGCACCATCAAGAACAAATATACAACATAATGATGATAATACAAAACATTATGTGTAAGAATATAATTAATCTATTTCAATATCATATACAATAACAATTAAAAATTGTCTGTATTTCTTCACTTGTCGATGTTTCTCGAGAAGGAATTATTAGAAAAATTTGAAATTTTCAAGGCAGATAGATCTTAAGGAGTATAGTAATAGACTCAAAGTTTTCAGATATTAGCATCACAATGGTCTGCATTTCTCTCAAACGCTATGTTCGAGCATACAGAACATTTTTGTTTTTTACCAAATTATCTTTGCTAAGATATTAACATTTTAAAGAAACTATTATGTTTTGATCTGTGTATAAGTTATTGTAAGACTTATCTATAAATAATAATTTCATACTCGATATTCGATCATTCAAATTTTCATATAGCAAAAATCGAAGATAGAAAAACTTAAACATACTAGAATTTTTCATAATCGATTGAGTGACAATAATCTTATGTAAATTTTTAATCTTAAATTTTATTATAGTTCAAATCCGTCCACATTTCAACCAACATCAATATCATCTGTAGTTAATCAAGATTCTCCAAGTCCAATAAGTTCTCAAAATTCAACATCAGGTGATGATAATAGTATCTATAGTCGAAATCAACAACAACAACAACAGCAACAACAAAAAAAGAAAGGTATTCGAAATTCAATTGGACGTTTATTTACACGTAAACCTGATCTTATTGATAATAAACCAATACATGAAAATATTCATTCAATATCTTATATTTCTCGTGGTAAATATTTCATTCGAACAAAAAAATAAATAATCTATTTCTTTTTTTAATATTTAGCATCATCTGTACCAGTTGATAATGAAATGACAGAATCGACAACTGGTACATTACTTAGTTTAGGTAAAACTGAATTTGATCGACGTATTAAAAAAAAGTAAATCAAATAAAAAATCATTTATTTAATATGAAATTAATATTTTTCATTTTTAGACAAGAATTACTTGAAGATGCAATACAAAATAATCGATCATTTCCAACATGGGATGGTGCAACTGTTGTTGCTTGGCTTGAAGTTTGTATTTAATCATCATTGATTTCTTTTATTTTTATTTTTTTTGTTTTAAAGTTATGGGTTAAAATGCCAGCATGGTATGTAGCTGCATGTCGTGCTAATGTTAAATCAGGTGCAATTATGTCTGAATTAAATGATGAAGAAATTCAACGACAAATTGGTATTAGTAATCCATTACATCGACTTAAATTACGATTAGCTATACAAGAAATATTAAATTTAACATCACCAAATGGACCTCGAACATCTGTAACAGTAAGTTTTTAAAATTTGGCAAAAAAAAAATCTTTCTCTTTTTGTTATTTTTTTTTTTTGATTTTGTAGTCATTAGCTTTTGGTGAAATGAATCATGAATGGATTGGTAATGAATGGTTACCAAGTTTAGGTTTACCACAATATCGTACAAATTTTATGGAATGTCTTGTCGATGCAAGAATGCTTGAACATTTAAATAAAAAAGATTTAAATAAACAATTAAAAATGGTTGATAGTTTTCATCGGTAAATATTTTAATCAATTTTATTTTTAAAAACATAAAAAAAAAAAAAATTTATTTAGTACAAGTTTTCATTATGGTATTATGGTATTAAAACGTATAAATTATGATAAAAAAGAACTTGATCGAAGACATGAAGAATCATTAAATGAAAATCGTGATGTTATTATATGGACTAATGAAAGAGTTATTCAATGGTTAACAACAATTAATGGTTTAAAAGAATATGCTAATAATTTAATAGAATCTGGAATACATGGTGGACTTATTGCACTTGATGAAACATTTGATTATAATGCATTAGCATTAGCTTTACAAATACCAAATCAACAAACATTAGTAAGAAATAATTGATTTTTAAAACGTTAAAAAATTTAAAAATTGAATTATACATATATTCATACTGAGAGAAAAAGCCATAAATATTTTTACAATAAAAAAAATATTTTAATACGATAGTGTAACATTTAATATTGGTAAATAAATTCATTTATATTTTTCGACACATATACTCACATCAGTTTGAGCATTTGTATTGATTTATTCTATCATCTTTGTCTGTATTAGTTATGAGTAAGATGATTACGGTATCGAACGTAAATTTTTTCGACTAGGATAGGAACCGAAATCTAAAATAACTGATCCTGTTTCAAGTCTAGCTGATATTTATTATTTTGTGTTGTTTTAATAAAGGTTATCTCGATGTTTCTCATTGCTATTCGCCGTCAAAATAATAACAATATGCATGAACTATTTTGCATTTCTACTTCTTTGCAACAAACCTATGAAAAGTTAGAATACGTCCTAAAGTCAATGTTGACAATTGAAAGTTACGTTCATTAATGATTTTACTAATGAAAGCAAGAAGTTTTGAATATTCCTCAGTCATTAATAAAAACATCAGGTTAATACCGTCGAGCATAATGCGTTTATTCAAATTTTTATTGTACAAAATACTTATGGGTTATCTTATATAAAATAAAAATAATCTATATTTAAAAAATGATTGATAGTCTGTTGCATCTACAACTTTGTGAAATCAAGTAAGGTTTTAGACAATATTTTCTTATATTCGAACTTTAAATTTAATGATCGATCCTTTGCTTTACAAAACAAAAAAACAAAATTGCAATAATTATAGAGATGATTGTCTATGTTTAGTTTCGAATAAAATTCTTTTAATTATCATTCATGATAAATCTCTTTTTTCCAAATAATTACTACTAATGAACTTATGAAACAATATCTTATTTCTTATCTACTTATTTTATTCAAAAATACTACTCGTTTTTGATTCTATTTGACTATAGTAAATAAAGATATTATCAATTTTAATGTATTATTCTTCTATATTTAGACACGTCAGATTCTTGAACGAGAATTTCGTATTCTAATTGCAAATGGTACAGATCGAAAAATGGATGAAGTAAGTTGAAAACTTTTCAATTGAAATATAAAAAAAAACAAGCAAATGTTTGACAAAAAAAATGGATCTTATGGTGTTTTTTGTTTTCAGTCATAATTCAAAGGGGTAAAATAATACAACAGTATGTGTGTCTTGTATGTCACTATGCTTTTATCCCAATTGATTAGTAAAGGGCGAAGAAAAAAAAGCGGCTTGTGTTATTGCTTTTCCTTTTTTGTTTTTTGATATTGTCTTAAAAGTAAAAGAAACTTACTATGGTTATGTTTTTTTTTTATTATCCATTTGTAATCGAATATATATTACATATATATAATTTCATTGATAATATTGTTTTTTTTTTAGAATGATCGAGCAAAATTAAAACGTCATCCATCATTATTTGCAAGAAAATTAAAATTCAAACCAATCAATGGAGATTTAACAACTCATAATGGAACTGATGCATCCATAACTATTCAAAATGATGAATCATAAAATTGATTAGATTGTTTTTTTTAAATGCATTTGTTCAGATGTGTGGAATTATTGTTTTCTTTTTCTCATAACATCGAATATCTCAACTTGTGTGTGTGTTTGTGTGTCAAAATTTTGTTTTTCTTATATAGATTTGCGCGATTACTGTCTTATAAATATCTATTTTTTATTAATAATAAGCACATATGTTTGGATTTTTTCGCACTTGAGTGTGTGTGTTTGAACTAAAGGTTTTGTCGCATTTTTTTTTCTCGGATGGTTATGCAATAAATTATAACTTGATTATTGATCACGTTTTGTAACTCTATGGATGCAGACACACGTTAGACATGTAGTTTCAATGCTTTTATTTTGTGTCTGTTTCAAAATCGAAACAAATCATTTCCATCAAATTCTACTTGATGTCCATAACTAGCATGTATTTTTCTTCTTTTGTTATTCTTGTGCAGATGATAGAATCATAAATGATTATTTTAAATGCGTCCTAATACAATTTTCATTTTGTTTTGTTTCTCTATAAATATATATATATATCTTTTCTTACTCTTCCTTTATTTCTCTTAATATTCTTTGTTTTTGGTCATAATATTTTTATTATTGATCTCATTTTCGTTCTTAATATGTTTGTTTATTTCTTTAAAATTAAATTGAATTGTTGATGAACTGCGTATTCTATATAGCTTTATTTACATTGCTGACGAACATAACTTTGTTTTGTATGTTATTAACAAAACCTAAATGTGTGAAATACTCTTCGATTTTTTGTTTATTCGATGATTGTTGTGTGTATTTTTGTTTTTTTGTATATTGCTCTAATTGTTTTGTTTAAGAGCATAATTGGAATTTGAAAACATTCTAAAACAACAATCGACGTTTCATTGATCTATACATTTGTAGGTCGAATCATCTGATATTCAGCTGGTTATATATTGTTCATCATGAAAAGGCATTGATGATATTATGTTAGTATACTACTCATTAGATTTTACGATAAAAAATGCATCAAGGTTATTATCCAAATCGAAAACTTTTAGATTTAAAATTCCTTTTGCTCTATTAAAGTATTTTTCACTGTTAACATTCCATTATGTCATAGAATGTTGAGTCTATGATAAATTTTGCTTTACTCATTGAAACCTATATGTCTAATGAAAGTCAACTCATTCCAAATAAAATATCTCAATTGTTGACAACAAATATATTTCATTTATGCATTTATCATACTAGATAAATACTATACATAGCACAAATTCTTTATTGTTAGATTTTCTGTTTAAATAGAAAATCAATATCGACATTTTTTGTAGTAAATCATATCTATCTATTGAATACTTTATGTTTGTAATATAAACGAAGATTTTAAAACTATAAAATTTTAATCTTTTATTAGATTAATATAGAAACAAAAACATAAAAGACCCAAGAAATATAACTTATACAAGTGATGCATCCGTTGAAATACAAGGTGTATTTATTTTGTCAATATATCGTCTTGGTACATCATATTTAGGTGATGTTGATTGACGATTAGGAAATTCATGTATACGATACTGTTCATTTAATTCATTCGTAGAAATAATTGTTGATTCAAATTGTAGATGATTTTCAGATACATTTGAACTTCCTGAATAACCTTCATCATCACGTAATGGACTTAATGATGAAAGTGGTGGTGATGATTTTTGTACTAAATAAATTGCTGTACTTGTTTGTGATGATGATAATTCATGATCATCATATACTTTTAATTTTGAAATAGTTGAAACTACATCAGATTCTATAAAAAAGAAAAAAAGAAATATTATGATGTAATAATAAAGTAAAAAAAAAAGGTGTTTAGTTAAATTTTTAATGCATATATAAAATGAGAAGAGTAAATCAACTCTTTATTGTTTCGGATTCATCAATTGATATGATGTAGAAGAAAGAAAGTGCACTTACTATTAGAATTACTCTTATCATGTACACTATTGCTATTGATTGATAATGATGATGTTTCCTAAAACAAAAGGAAAAAAGTTGTTAGCACATTTTCTATGGAATAATAATGTAAAATACTATGTATCTGTTGTCGCTAGTTACAGAAAAATTGTTTTATTCTTTGTGTTTTGGGACACATTTTTTCAACATTATTTTACTTAATTCTCAATAAATGCAATAAAGAAGTTGTTTATATATTATAATAAGACGTCATTGATATATAAATAGTCTTTGATCATATATTTCGGTTCGATATGGTCTACATGGAGGTCCACATTTTTAAGCCTTTACTTCAACAATCTCCTTTAGATAGTGTTTCACAAAAAAAAAATTCACTCAACATATTAGCATACTTTTCATTTCAATCGGAAGAACTTGTCTCTATAAAACTGAAAGTCCATCCACAATCGATTGAACTAAAATACTTTGGGTACTCTTTCTCGGTGAATTTACTGATATTAGAAGTTGTACTTTATATTTTCTTCAACTTTGTGAAGATCGAGAAGAGTGCAATGAGTTGGAAGGTTTTTAACTAAAATAACATTCGAATATATTGAACACGCTTCTTATCTAATTAATAATGATGCTTATACTTGTGATTATGATTTTAATGGAAGAATTGAAGATTAGACTGTTAGTATGTATATACATAGAGAGAATTTTTACTTGAGTTTTCGATATATTTTTGGTATGTACTATGTCTACAACATTGGCCTATTCTTGTTTTTAAAATTGTTAAGATCAAGAAATGTTTCTTGTTTGTAATTTCGTACGCTCTAGAAACAATCGATTTAATCGAATTTTTGCTGACTATTTATAGATAATGTTGATATTTTATTTAGCATATAAAAACATATAAAATAATACATTATATATATTTTATGTTTTATATATTCAAAATTGTTATGCACTTTTGTTGATGACTTAGCTTAATACTTGAATCTTAACTTGATCTTTTCTATTTGAATTCTAAATTTCTCAATGATATTTGTTTTAAAACTTTATTATTGTATTGAATTGCTAATTATAAACAAAGTTTGTATTTGTTCAGATTATTACTCTCAAAATCGAAATGAGGAGTAACATTTTCTGTGTTAGATTTATATCGATATTTCCTAAGTGAATATAAAAATTCTAATGAGCTCCGAAAATGAAAATTATTATACATTAAATACTCACCTTTTTACCATGACATAATTGATTAAATTTATATCGTTTTTGTTTGATAATAATAATAAGACTAATGATTGTCCCAAGAACGAACAAAACACAAATGATGGTCGGTATGATAATAATCCATGGTGAATGTCTAAAGGTTAGTAGACGTTCTTGTTCTTTAAGTTCAAGTAAAAATGTATCTTGATGATTTATTTGTTGTTCAAGTTCAATATTGAATAAATATTGACCTAAAGGTGGTTTCAATAAAGATATAATTGTACAATTAGATAAAAGTTGAAAATAATTTTCAATAACTATTTGTGATCGACATAATGTTGAATTAAATATATGTATAAATGAAAATTTATTTTGATTCATAATCATATATTTATTTATTAGAAATGGAATATTTCCATATTGATCAAGTATTCGTACAATAATATTTATTTTAATATAATTATTAACAAATAGATTAATAAAATAAATACTTTGTTTAGTTCGATTAAATTTTTTTAATGTATATAAATCACCTGTATATGAATCAATATAAAAATTTTTTGTATTATCAATTGTATAAATAATATTTCGACAAAATTTATTTGTTATTTTATGCATTAAAAATGTTTTATTTGGTAAATTTTCTTTTATATCAATAATATATGTTTTTTGATTAAATGATAAATTACATAAATATTCATTTGATTTCATATGAAATATATATGTTTGATTTGTACATAATAATGGTTGATCATTATCACAAGAAATTAATAATAAATAATAATTATCTTGATAAATTAATTGTGAATTATTTTTTGTTGATAATATATAAATTAAATTATTTTTATATTCTCGTATTAATTGTATTTGAAAATGTTTTGTATCATTTAAATATAAACTTAAATTATTAGTTGATTGATCTAAATCTTTTATATTTATTGTAGCAAATGGTGTTGATGATGTATTTAAATCATATTTTATTATATTTGATTTATATAAAACAGAAGGATAAATTATTAAATTAATATCTGGTGAATTATCATTAATATTTAATATATGTATTATTAATTCAGCAAAACAAGGTGCAATTGATGATGGTGAACGTGCTTCAGCTGTTAATTTATATATGGATATTGTTTCATAATCAATAGAATTTAATAAAATTAATTCACCTGTAAGAGAATTAAGATAAAATGTTTTATTTGTATCACCATGAAGTTCATATTGAATAGATAATGATGGAGCTGATATAGCTTTTATTAAAGCAATTTTTGAATAAATTTGTGTTGATTCACTTATATATATTTCATAAGAATTACGATCAAAATAAAGATATGTTGCATTAGTAATATAAATTATAAATATAAAACGTATTACAATCATCTATAATAAAATAAAAGTGACAGTTCGATTATTATTTTCTTGTTGAAAATATTTAATAATACAACAACAACTACTTTATATTGATCTGTATGTTAATCGTATGTTTTGTTCATTGACACAAATTATGTGTATTATTGATTAGAAGGAGAAAAAAAAATGAGATACTGTCTATTCCAAGAATGATAAACCCAAAACAGAATAACACCTGTATAAAGAAAAAAGACGATATTACTAACTTACGAAATAGACGATAACTATTATTCAAAGATGTACAACGAACTATTTGTCCTATATTCATGAAAGGAATAAATGAACATAACTAATTTCATATAAATGATACATAAGAAAGCTGTTATTATGTTTTTTTTTTCGTATGTACTTCATTGAAATCATATAGTAACCGATGACATTTAAGTTTATTTTCCTTTCATAATTGATGATAAAGTTATACAACTCAATTTGTAATACATACACATAAAGTTATAACGAACATTAGTCTATCTCTATTCAGTTTAAAATCGAAAGGCGATTGATGTGTCAACTAAGTTATAAATGATCATTTTATGTTTTGTATATCAATCTTATTTTTAAAGAGAGCAAGAAAAATTGACATATACTTATCTTAAATGGCGCCGCTAAACAAAAAAAAAGAGGTTGTTGTGTCTATACCTACCATGTACTGTCAATTAGGCACAATGTTTTTTAAAAGTATAAAGTGTGCATATGACCATGGCACTATTAATAGACGTGATCCTACTCGTACAATTTGTCTTGAACAATGACACGAATAGGATTATGAGTCACTTTGTGTCTATACACTAACGAGACAGAGTAGCAGCTTGCATCTTTTCTTTTCTTTTTCTATTATGAGGACTCCTATTAGAATAATTGTCATAGAAAAGAAAGAGACAAATAAATTTGTTGAATTGTACATTAAAGGCTCAAGAGAAAAAAGACACTCGTAATCTCTTACTGATGGATAATAATAAATAAACCTTGTATATATTTTACAAGTGCACCTATATTCTTCTTTACCTAATGGATAAAATTAAATTTAATATACTTCGATTGACATTGTCAACGATTATTTAATAAAACAAATCAAAGACATTGCCTTAAAACATTATATTGCTTTATTCAGTTGTGATATTGAATTGAAAAAAAAAAACAAAAAAAAATATATTAACTACTTTATACAGATGATATGTACAAGCAATTAGATTTTACTTTTTTTATTGTAATGTGAAAAAAATAAGTAGATGATAACTAATTAATAAAATATTCTAAAAAATTTTCTCAAATGAGAAATTTAACGATAAATCTAATCAAACAAAAACATTTGTAAATTTTATTTGTATCAATACATTATACCTACAATGTTTGTTAGGATTATATGATAAACATAACAGATTTAATAACAACAAAAATGCGTATATGTTTATTATGGCTAATCATCGTTAGTTGAAAATAGAGCAGGAATCCATGTCCTTGAAATCTCTTTAAAAAAAATGGACGATTTATCGAAACGATAATCATGTACTAAAATGTGATAAACCATCGATGGTTTTCAAAATGAATCTTAGTTTAGTAACCCTCATTATATTGACAATAGAATTGATCTCATTCATGTAATTTGGATTTTTATCATTATAGTGCGAATTTCTTAAGAACACTTTAATTCAAATATTGATTGCAAATAAACAAAAAAATACCAGTACAATATGCAGTTGCTCGTAATTGAATGAGAACACAATCGAAAAGAGATACTAAATAAAATAATATTCATAGATAGATATTGATTATTTGAATTATATTTTTATCTGAAATCACTTCACATCTAGTCGCATTATATATCAATCAATTAAATATCTAAAGCAAAAATTAGAATAAAGATCGTAATTAAAAACTACAAATAAAAGGATGACAATGGAAGAGAAGTTTTTCAGTCTTACATTAATCTTAGATTGAAATAATCATCTAAAACTTCCCATGTGATTTGAATCGGACATGCTATCCTCTAATTGCCATTGTATTGCTGTATATTAGCACACTGTGGGCATTCAAGCAGACTTTATGTGAAATACATCTACTCTGATTCATCGAAAAACATCCCTAAGTAAGGATTAGAAGCATTTTTCATTGTAAGCAAAAAAAAAACCAATAAGGAGAAAACATCCCTGAAGAAATCATGTATAATCTTAAACTGCTTTTTTCATCTGATTAATTTGTAACGAAAAAATTTCTCATGTATATGCTTGTGATTCGAAAAGAAAACTCTTTATTGAACGAAACTTCCATAGAATACTCCTTCATTCATGAAATCTATAGCTGAGCTATAAGTTTTCAAGACAAAACTTGTTTTTCTCAACATAGAAACATTTTTATTGAAGATTAACCTCATATTTGAAATCAGCATAAAAGAACTATACAAGATGGTTTTGTAATTAATTAGTGTTATTAAAAAAAAAGTCTTTCTACGTAGATATATGTAGTGAGGGTTTCTCACAAGGAAATTGAAACGATATACATGAAGAAAATTTGATACGCAAAAAAAATGAAGGTAAATATGACATCTATTGAAAGATCAATGAATGTAGATGAAGATGATTTTATATATGTTAGCCTTCTCTCGACACGTAACTATCCAAATCCAACAATACAATTTCAATATTTTAAATTCATCTCTCTAATAATATTATCAAAATTCTTCTTTTAACATCCTCTACTATTATTTCTCCACCTCAATTTTCTACGCATAAAAAAATTTTGTGTCACGTGATATAGCAGATAAGAACATGTTTCTTCACTTAGGTGATAACAATTTGAGTGCATTTCTATTCATTTTCATCTACATAGGAAAATAAGGTCTTTTTCAGCTTAAAAAAAAGGTCACATATCTGTCTGATTTACGAAAAAATATATACTGTACGGCTATAAGTACGAACAAATGTATGACATGAATTAAGCTACAATAGAAAAATTGAAAGTGGAAAAAAAAAACATCTTTTGATATTGACATTCATGCCAAAACTAAATCTTTTTTCTTTTAGTTTCAAGTCACTATGATTATGTTACAACAAAATGAAGAAATTATATTTAGACTCTCAATTATATATCTTGAAATATTTTTCTAATTGATTAATAATTTGTAATTAGTTATTTGAAATCAATGATTGAATATGTCAACAATTTTTGATAATGATATTTGAAAAACAAAAAAACATTTGTTAATGTAGAAAATTAGTTTATTTTAGTTGTGTTGATTTAAATATTGGAAGAATAAAAAAAGAACTGATTAAACTATTATGATGCATTAATCTATTGATGAATAAATTAAACGTAAAGATTATTTTTTTTTTGTTGTATTTTTTCAAAAGGTTATATTTTGGCATGATATCAATTGGAAATGATTGACTAATATCATTCGTTTGTTTTGAATGTTATAATAAAAATGCATAGGGTCTAGACAATGTGCTTTCAAGTGAAAATATTTATTTTGAATATTTATCGAATCCTATTTAATACATAAAAAAAGGAACAATTTGAATTCTTAAATCAGAATATATTTTACATTATGCATAGATGGAAGAACGCTGCCAATGACAAACTAATCAATTTTCCAACTTAAAAATCAATACGTCAATATATTTCATTAAATTATTATCTACAAATATTCGTATTAGTTTATGAATGTGTGTGTGCTGATTTTCTACAATAGAGCTTTTGTCTATTATTCTTAAAAATGTATTTCCTGAATGCTGCTTTTTTCGAAGGACAAACGTGAAATTGTACGTAAAAGAAGAACATTAAATCATATACGAAAGTTATAGACATCTTGTAATTCCCCCCCCCCCCCCCCCCTTATTTGATCAAGGCTTTTTTTTGATACGTGTTAAGATGTAATGCTGACATTAGATCTCGATTATGGTACATACTTTTCTTTTTTTATATTTTTATCTTTAAAATTATCATGACTAACGACTCGTGAAGATTTAGGTATGTATTATATTTTTCTTTTCTACAAGCTATCTTTATCTTGAGTGCATTTTTTTCTCTGATTGTATGACATATAGGAGTACTATATTATCATCGGATGTTGTCTTTTGTGGGACTACATTGATGATAATAGCCTAAGTCTGTCTTTCCTTGCTTACTAAATATTTTTTCTCTAACCTTTATATGATAAATAAAGTAATATGCTACTAATAAAATGTAATGAGTTCTTTCTATAGAACTATCTGGTAAAATGATAGTTTTTATAAGGAATACAATTCAAAGACATTTTTTATGTTCAATATAACTGTCAAAATTGAATATTCATGAGGATTGTTCATCATTAGGTTATAATGATTTTACTAACATTTGATGAATACATAAATTATTTTCAACTATACTAATGTAAATACTACGGAATGAAATATGAGAATAACAAATATATATATATGTGTATGTGAAACTATACTAATCCAAGTTCAGAGGAATTTTTGAACTATAGGAATTGAATCTTTATAACAATTTTATCTGATATTACTATATCTAAGGTTAAAAAATATTATTTTTTTTCTTAACAATTATAACTGATCTAATACATTGACAGATTTTAAATATGTTAAAATTTTTTTTATCTCCTAATATAATAAAATAAATAATAACTGCAGTATATATAATGGTCACTCATGATAGTGCTTAGTACAAATAACATTTACATGAAATAATTGAAAAAAGTCAATATCAAATTTCCATTATGATCTTTTGTCAATTTGGGTAGATCGATTAAATACATTGCTTAGTATTACAAATGATGATAACTGAAAAAAAAAGACAACATATTTAATTCTCGATTATATCTACAAGAAAAAAAAATACAATCTTCAAATAGATATACGCAATAGATTTGGTTTAAGTTTTTTTTTTTCAATGATGATGCTGATCATATTGCATCATATGTATATATATATGAAATCTCGTTTGTGTCTATGTGAAATCGAATCTTTACATAC